CGAGGCGTCCGCGGCACGGGCAGCTGCCGCGGCCCCCCCGAGGCTGCTCTGGTCGTACGTCTTGCTGAGGAGTACCCAGTGACAGGCAAGGCTGAGATACTTGTCTGGAAAATCTGTTGCAGAACAGGGGTAAAACAAACAAACGGACAAACAAAACCCCACCAACTGCAGTATATAACTATGCTGTCAAACTTGCGTGCGTATGTATAGATGTGTGCTTATATATAGATGTGTGTGTGTGTACATATACAGCAAACAAAAAACCCCCAACCCCCCAAAAAACTGCCCTGGTCTTATATTTGCTACTAAATACTTACATGGAAAAAGCAACTCTGTGACCTCAAGGCAAGGAACGAAAAAGGGGAAACTAAATTCATGACATTGAAAGCTAGCTGCATCAATGGCTTCTCACAGTCAGTATTTTACAAATTTGTTTCAGTTTCTTTTTGTTGCATGTTTTTTTCTGAGAAAATATCATTAAACCTGTTTTTAAGCACAGAAGTAATCAGTGGAAATTAACCTTCATCAGTCTCACCTATTGCAGAAATCCACCCCCTCAACCTCCTAAGGTAGTTTCAGATTATTAGAATCTAAATGTTACATTCAGCTATTTCATACACCACTGTCTTCATGTTCCTCACACACTTCAAGTAAAAAGGTTAACTCCTACCATTTTTCTGTATTATGCATTTTTGCTTTCATGACAGATACTGTGAGTGGGCTGTCAAGTGGAATGAAGAAAAATACTTCCTCAAAACTTTTAAGCAGTCATTTCACAGTATTTAACTCTTCTGAGAATCTCAACCCTTTTTTGAGATATGCAAAGACAACATAAGTGGGTGAACTTACACTGAAGCATATGTTTAAAGTTGTATTTTGTGCTGTTGACCAGGTAATCCGACTACTGTCCTCAAGTTAATGTGAGTACAGAGTACATCCTTTGGCTTCTAATACTTGGGTTTTTTTTCTGTATTCTTGAATGACTTCTAGAATCAAGAAAAAGAAAAAGACAGTGCTCTTTATTTTTTGCTAAGCTAATGCATAGGCTTAACAACTCTTCTTGTACTACACCGTGGCAAGGCAAGGGGCCTTCATTGTGCTCTAATCTTGGCAAGAGAATATCTGTTCTTACCGGAGACGGGTAGGCAATGCTCTTCCCATTACTCCTACTTGCAGACATGAGTAAGTTGTGTAGAAATTTCCAGTTGTTGCTAACAGCTCTTTCGCACCGCTTGAGATTAATACTGTAGAGACCCTGTGAGTTTGTTAGATGGATGACTTCTTGCTACCGGTGTTCCAAGGACTGTTGCTCACATATAGCTTTGATCAGATGACATGTTTCTTAAAATGCCTGTGGCATTTTATGTACTAATTTTTTCAACATTTCTGACTCTGGTTGCAGTGAACCACTGTTAGCAATAGAGAATTTTCCCTAGTGGGGAATTTTCCAATAGTGGGGAAGTTTCCTAAAGAAGTAGGTGGAGTTACATCAACATTTAAGTTCTGTCACAAGAAGTCTTTGGGCAAATAGTTCTGTTTCTCCTGTCTTCTTCATTTGATTGTGAGGGAAACGTACAGCAGCAATACTGAAGAGCATTTTGCCCAGTGAATATCTTTTTGCTTTTATAAAACTGTGTTTGCCATAAATGTCAGAAGGTGGCAGGAGGAGAGAAGGGGCATTGTGGTAGATTCTGTAAGAAAAATTGTGAGAAGATTGCAGCTTTGGTAAAGACCTTTCATTGGCATCTAGGTCTCGAGCTGCTTCTGCTGATCCAACCAGGGGATCCTTCTGCTCAGCGTGAAACAGGAGAAGGGTCTGCAATGGTTATTGCAGCGGTTTTTTTCACGCACATCTGGATTTGACCCGGACCTACTTTTTTTCTCTCTGAAAGTGAAAAATTGATTGCAACAGCAGACTTTCTCAGTCTTGAGGAATTTTGTAAGTAATAGTCATACTTCTTTTGTGTGTAATAAGGCTTGTTTTCGTCTACAGTGGGAGAAAGCATGCAAATTAAAGTTCAGCAATTGCAGGATACAAGCACAGGTCTTAGAACCGTAAAAGCTTACTTGGTGTCATCTGTCTTCCAGGAGTTAATCAGAACACCTCTCCTGGAGTTCATACCGACGTTCAGATTTCTTGACAAAAAAGTGGGTATGGGTTGCATGCATGGGTATGGGTATCTTTCCGTGACTGTAGTGCACATGCTATTTGTTCTGAGCAGTTTCTCAGCTACAACCTCTACTTTTAAAAAAGTAGAAAGTATTTTGGGGCTGAGTGTGCTACAACTCTGGTCATTCTGGCATGGGGAGCGCAGGGAGGTGCACACCTATACCCATGAGTCTCAGTGGCTTACTCTTCTGCAGGCTTGCCTCTGGAGTAAGCGTGATCAGAGCGCACTTGTGAGATTGGTATGCCTCTAGCTTGTTTGAGAAGCTTTGTTCTGGAGATTAGTTGGTGCTCTGGACTGCTTGCTACTCAAGCAGTGGCATCATGATGGAGGCACTCTCAGGCGTGCACATCACCAAAAACTCTTAGGTACCCCCAGGATTAGGCAGCAGTTTGCTAGTGCTTTTAAGAACATCACTTGTGGCTAAGGATGGGTACCTAACCACATTAAGAAGCCTGGGGTTTATTTACCAGTGAAACACATCTTTCACCCTGAGAATCTTATTTGTGTTTTCCTGTCCCTGTTAGCAGAACATCCTTTTGTAGTTGCTCATGCCTGCCTAACAATGTATTCGATTAACTCCCTTTCTCAGCTCCATCTGTGTTGCCTTCTGCACACCTGCTATTGGGATCAGGCAGCAGCAATCTGAGGAAAAAAGCAGCCTGAAGCAAATTCTTACAAGGACTTTAAGTCCCATAAGCCAGAACACTGTAAAGGTACATGTGTCTTATAATTTAGGACAATGTTGTTACTTTATTATCATCTTAAAGTTGACAACCAGAGAAAGAAGGACAAAACATCTTACCAAAAATTGTAAGAGTCAGAGTCCAGGTAGAGTTTCATCAGTTAAGAAACATGATGGGTATTACAGTTGCCTAATTTCTTACGCAAATGCTGAAACTACCACTAGAAAACAGTTGAAGGCAATCTTTCCTTATTTTTGTGGCTGTTTGGGTATCCAAAATGAGGACTTTATTTAGATAAAATTCTACAGTTCTCTGTACTCATGAAAGACTTCCATTACAGTGAGTTTGAATTTTTCTTGAGAGTAATTTGAAAAATGATGGCAGTGTTTGATACTAGTATTGCTTGACTTAAAATACACAATTAGCAAGTGCAGTGGTGGTGTGTGAAGGTTAAGTGTATGAATTGACATTAATCAGTGTTTTATAATGTTAAAGTGTTACGTAGGAGTATAAAAGCTATGTCAATAAAAAGGGGAAAAACTTCTGACAGAAAATTGAAATAATTTACATGTTCAGAGGTAATGCAGCAGAAATTCAAGAAATTTGTTGGTTTTGTCACTGTTTACAAAGGCACTATTGTGTACATACTCATTAAGTGATTAATTACCTCATGAATTCTGTTCACAATATATGTAACTTCACGAGCCCCGTTGTAAGTACTGTGAGACCAGGTGTTATAAAACAGGGTATGTTCACAGTATGTTAAAGAAAGGCAAACAGGTGGGGAAGGACTAAGTTCTATTGCTTCCACTGAACGCGTATGGAGAACTCCTCCGTTCTCCTCCTGGCAGGAGCAACACTCCCTGCTACAGTTTAGGGGAACAATTGGGTATTTGTGAGTATTTATTTACTAATTGTCAGATAGTGATAAAGCATACATTTTGCCAAACCAAGGACAAATGTTTGAAGCAAATAAAATTAGATGTTCTTCCTGGACCCATGCAGGAAGCTTTCTGCCTGAGCATCTACTGTAGTTAAAGGTGCAATTTTGTCATGTTTTCGGCTAGAGTGGAATTCAGTGCCTTCTGTCCAGTTCTTTGTGTGAAGTGGCGACACAGTGTATTTTACAGTGCAAGTTATAAAATGAGTGGATATTTATATTTGTCTATTATTTTATCATTTTAGGTTCTATCTACGTCATGGAAAAGCCTTTGCTTTTGTACATATTTTTATTCTACTGGCATTTCCTAAATGGTAAGAAGCTGAGTCGTAAGAAGCAGTAGAACTGTATAATGTTCATGTATAAGCACAGAAATGTTAATTTGTCAGTTTTCCTTCAGGTGCTAGTGTTTGGGGTTTTTTTGTTAATGTTTTAAATAAAAAGGTCTTAGCATGCTTTTACATTAAACTAGATACATGTGCTTAATATGTGTGCTTTGATACGGGGCCAGGTTGAAACCCCTGTCGGTGTTTCAGCGTAGACACCATTTCAGGCAAGGTACTGTTCGCATTGAACAAAAAGCTTTCTTGGCACTGTCAAACCTGGGAATTGTCGTGTATTCTTTTACATTGTGTGTAAAAACAATTGACATTTATATAAACAGAACACTCCCATCCGAGGCACTAACAATTGCCTGTTACCGTGGCAGTGTTCTGAAAGCAACAGCTGAGGGGCTGTGCACACACGTTCACCTATTTTTAGTACAGCATCACACCGTGTGTGTGCACAAAGCAGGTGTTTGCAGGTATAAATAGCCCAGTTTGTCCCAAAGTTGGGGAAGTGCATGCAAAAATGTTTAACTTTTCTGAACAGGGCAGATACTTTTGGTGCTTAAAATGTCCTTTGTATATGGTAAGACATGACTTCGAAGATTAGGCTTATAATTGGAAAATTAAGTTTTCTTCCAAATCTTGTTTTTCAGCTTTATTCACGGTTGAAGCTCCCCAGTCACTCTACACTGTGGAACATGGGAACAATGTGACCATGGAATGCACGTTTCCAGTGAATGGGAAACTAAAGTTTAGAGATTTAAGTGTCAGCTGGGAAAAGAATGATGAGTTAAAGCAGGTTTACGTACTTCTCAAAGGAGAGGAAGACTTTGAAAGTCAGCACAGTGACTTTAAGGGAAGAATAAGATTGCTGAAAGAAAATCTGAACTTGGGACAGTCTCTCCTTCAGATCACGGATGTGAAACTCAGAGATGCCGGGGTTTACCGCTGTCTTATTGGCTACGGGGGAGCTGACTACAAGACAATCAATCTGAAAGTTAAGGGTGAGAGTGCTACTGCAGGAGATTCAGTGCTGTCTGATACTGTTAAAAGATTTCAGAGGAGTCCCTGAAGTAAGACATGTCTGGTTTAACATTTAAAGAAACCTCTCCAGAGACAGGAGCCACCTCATGGCCATTGCACAGCTGGATAACTTTGTGTCTCTGTCTAGGCTGAATCCATGTTCTGTCCTTTATTTCCCATAATGATACACGAGGAATGGTGTTGCAAAAACCATTTAGACAGGACAAAGGCCACAAAGCTAATGCAATTTTCTAAAGAGCGTAAAAAATGTAATAAATCCTGTATCTTCAGTTACTATGGAGAGACACAATAGTGATATTTACTTTTCCTGTCACGAGTATTATTTACAAAATCCAAGCTGATGTACAGAAACTTGGAAAAGGTGTCTGGCTAATATATGCTCTTCTTCTAGCTTCCTACTAGTAATCATTTTCTTCCACTTGTTTAGCTCCTTATAGAACTATAACCCAAGGAGTGGTGAGCACAGGAGACAACAAATGGAAGTTGACATGTCAGTCAGAAGGATACCCACAAGCTGAAGTGATATGGCAAAACAGAGAGTATGAAGATTTGACAGATAAGGCAAACACAAGTTATGAAACTGGAAGTGATCAGCTGTATCGTGTGACAAGCACCCTTACAATCAAAAGTCGGACTGATGAGATCTTTTACTGTGTATTCTGGAATAAAGAGCTGCAAGAAAATACATCTGCCATTTTACACATAGCAGGTAACATTTCTAAATTTCATTTATGGTAATACACTTCAAGGTACTATGTCATTTTGTCCCAGTTGAATCAGCCATGATTTGTTTCTCTTTCCTATCTAATTTTAAAAAGGCTAAAAAGAAATACCTGTGTTGTTAAGTTTTGCTATTAGTGTACACTTCCACCATACTAACATGTTCATCATGCATGTGTGGATGGAGTTCAAGGATAGGATTTTTGCATGACCTGCAGTTATGAGAAGATTGAGTCTGAGTGTTAAAAAAATTTCCATTATCTGAAAAGCATGTAACTCGGAGCCTAGAAATGAAACCCTCCCATACAAATTAAACACACCTTCCAAGAACGTTCTGTTTTGCTGACGAAAACTGTCAAATAAATTTGAACAATATGATCTTTTTCTGCCACTACAGCCTTTGCTTTGAGCATATTTAAATTCAGCAAATTGTACACAGGTTTTTTTTTCTCATAAAATCTGAATTGAAGGAAGGTGCGTGAATGGAGAAGACCAATACAGTTTCTCATTAGACCTTTTAACTGGGCACCACCCCTACTGCTTTTGCTTTTGGTAACTCTTTTAATTTCTGCATTGTACCCTCGTATGTTTGCACAAGCTTTCAACCAGACTGGAGACCTGATCCAACTCAAAAATAATTTTCCTGTTTATGAGACTGTTACTTGGTCAGGTCATTTCTCTGGTCCTGTTCACCACGCAGTTTTAAAAACGCCTGTGCTGGCACTCTTTTTGGGACTGACAAGAGGAGGAAACAGGCAGCTGAGAGTGAGAAAGCCAAGTCATCCTCTCAACGAGTCGTGAGCGGGCAAGTTTGGTTTTAACAAGAAATGCCTCTGGGATTCAGGGAGGCCACTTATCCTTTGCGTTCAGAGCTTTACCAGATGAAAGGGACTCTCCGTTTTCTTTCTCAATCAGCTCTTTCCTGTAGTCCTGATGGGAAACTAGGCAAGATGTAACACTTTGTACCTTGGTGACAAGCAGGATTTGTGACAGGAAGCAAAGGCACTATCATATGGAATGCAGGAAGCAAAGATAAATATGAATACGTTCTATCTTTTTTTCCTTTATTGGGATAACGAGGTATGGTGAAGTGCACCGTCAGCACCTGACCTTAGACACAATCTAAAATGCTGTTATCATGTCTGAACTGCTCATAGCAAAAATAGTATGGTGAAAATGAAAGAAAAAGGGAGAAGTTATGCAATTACGTAATGTCTTTCCCCCATTTGTTTTTCTCAAAGATTCAGCTGATGGAGTTCTGTGGACTGAGAGCAGACGCTTTGTTGGAACAATTCTCATTGTGACTGCTTTCTTTGGATCAGTGCTTCTATTTATGCTCTGCGTAAGAAAAGGTATTCAAATTATTTATTTTAGTGTATCTCAGTTATTATCAGTCTGTTCTGTTAATTCATCCTCACAGATGTGGAAGTCTGCCTTAGATCTGTCATCCTGAAACCACCATATTTTTTACCACATTGTTTCTTTCTTTTTCTTTACTTGACGTAGTTAAATACTAGCAAGTTAGCAGAGTGGAACAGGATGTCAGCCCCTTGCAAACCACTTACCCATGCATCTCTATTAATTTTTCTTATAGGTAACAATGTAAAGCAGGAAGATTAGTGTCTAATCTATTCAAACACCAAAGCACAGCTTATGCACCTACTGGAAATGGAAGTTTCCTATTCTGTGTCCTCCCTTTTGATTGGGGACCGGAATGCTCCAGGGCACTGGAGCTTTTTTAGGGTTCTTTTCCCTGCATTTTCTCTGAAAAGTTTCACTGAACTGTGAGCACATGTTTTTTTAAGTGATCTAATTGTTATGAATTCTACATATATCTTTATTCTGGTTAAAACACTTTAAAAATGGTGGACTGCATATGAACTGATATGTGCAAGGCTTTGAGTCTGAAAGATTTTTTTTCACAAAAGGGAATATTCCCACTGTGGCTTCATACCACTTGATTCATTTCCTTGTTAAGTTTTGAGCTTTTTCAGTTCACTTCACTGACTTTAATTGGACATTTTCAGCATCATGGTATGCTGAAGAGCTAAATCATTGGTGGTAATTTGTTTTCACTTGCTAGCTAACCAAAGAAAAAACTCGGAGAAATAATTTTTAGGGTATCTGAGCATGAAAAGAATACGGTTTGCCCCCAAATTAAAGAAAAAATGTTTGAAACCTTTGTGTTGCTTAACGTGAAATAAATACTGTTACATTTTTTCCTTTGTTTGATTGATTGTGGGGGTTTTTTGTTTTTTTTTTTTTTGTTTTTGTTTTTTTTTCCTTGGAGAGAAGGTAGGTGTGTTTGAGGATTTTATATTCAGGGGTATTTTTCACTCTTCATTTTAACAGTTACAATAAAGTCATGCAGATCTCAGAACATCCATAGGACTCATTTGAAAATGTCGAAAGGAAAGTGTTTTTGCTGAACATTCTGGTTTTGGCCAGAACTCTTCCTCTGTATAACAAATCTGTGGATTTTTTCCAAATAACTTTTTGAATTTTTTTTTGGTCAAGTTGTCTGCAGAGAAGAAGGACAAGAAGCATGGAAGCTGATACAGTACTCTTAGCATTATAATATCATACTGGCATGACTCTGTAAATTATTACCAGAAATGCTCCAAAAACCTGAACAAGATAGTTGACTAAATGCTCCTGTCGAAATTCTTGAATTTTATAGGAGAAGTAAATGTGTGTAGCTAGCATGAAACTCAGCTGGAACTAATGCAAAGGCTAGTTGTACTGCCTTTTCAAGTGGTATCTCAAAAGCTTCCACAATAAGAGAGGTGTACTTTCTGAGGTGGTATAGCAGAACTGTTGGTTTTCCTGTCTGCCAGCTCTCTTTTCCACAGTGAAAACCATAAACAGCCCTAATTTCTGTCTGGAAATTACACAAAACCATCTATAAGCAAATTCTACACTGAGCGTTCGTGTTCAAGTTCCATAAAATAAATACAAGATAGAAATAAATGTGGATATTCAGTGTTTTGGTCACAAACTCATCTCCTGCATTGGTGCTATGGAAACATGTCCTGGGAGAAGTGTTCGTTAACAGGCTTGCAGGTGATGCTAACAGGCTGCAGAAGGCCCGTAGATAACCCTGCATGTACAAGAATATACTTGTCCATAGAACATGATAGGAATAGGAGCAGAACATGAAAGTGGAAGAAGGGACAGCAAAATCCTTGACTTCTCAGAAGATTCCCATCTGGGGATTTCAGTGAAGGTCAGAAGTTTCCTAGGCTGCTTGAGTAACACTTACTGTTTGTGTGTGTACATGATAATGTATATACATGTCATGATGTATGTGATTATCATGATTATGTTATATATGTGTGTGTGTGTCATAAACAAGTTGATTCAGAAGCTAAAGTAGTAGCAACAGGTTTTTCTTTTAAAACCCAAGCTGTCCTAGATGACCAGACAAGTGATTCTTTCAGAATGGAACCTCTCTGGAATATGGGCTTTTTCCCCTCAAAAAGCACTGAGAATGTGATCCCGTTCTTGTTCCCTGTTGCCCAATATGTTCAAATTCTGGGTGAAAATATACAAGGGAAAACAAGTATTTTTCACTAACGTTAGGGTGTAGTATCAATGGAGTTCTGGCTTAGGAACGAGGAAAGGAAATTGGAAAGGAAACTGGAAAGGAAACTGACAGACTGGGGACACTGGAGAATATATTTTAAAGCCTTCAAAGACATGGAGTGTTTTGAGAACCAGTGATTACACTATGCTAAGTGTGCCCTTCCCACCAGTGTGCTTAAGCCCCCATTAGATCTAAAGTAAGCATTTTGTTTTCTTTTTGATTTTTCTCTCTTATTTTCTTTCAGCTAGAGCAAATAAGGACAACAGAACACCTGTGGCTAGTTCATCAATAGCAAGTATGTACATATGGCATAAATCTAGCTCAGTGTGATTCTTGTGGAAATAATTGCTTGAGAATTTACTTTATAACGGTGACAACCAAATGCAGATTTACATTCAACTTTCATTTTGCTTTCTACTTCTCATTTATGTAACAACTATTGAAGAGTGACTTTTCATTACTATGTCAACTTCTTGAAAGGAAAACGTGAAAGAAAAGCATACTTGTTCCAGGAGCAGACACAGTCCTGATATGCATGAGAAAAGGACAGAGTGGTGCTGTGTTTTGGAAAGTCTGTGATAGGATGGGACGTGCTCCCTGGAACATATGCCTCAGAATGGCAGCACATCCTGGTATGCAGACTCTGTGCTGCAATTTGAGCCATGTTGGCATGATCCTGTGTTTTCTCCAGTATTATAGCGTGCATTTGAGGGTCTTTGTCACAATATTGAGGACAGAGGGTTTGGCCCTGTTAGGGTAAATACAGGAATAAACTTTAGGTTCCCTAACAGTTTCTTTTTCCTCCTGTTGAGGTACTGATGCTATTTGCTATGAGCAAAGCTGAGTGAATGGCCAGTACCACCATGACATTTAGAGTGGAGAGAGTTAATATTTACAGTGGGAGAGAAGAGATTAAAATCCTTTAGCTTCTTCTCATGATGGCTCATGGTGGTTTTTTTTTAATTTCTTGTATGGTTTTATTTGGAGACTGCTTCAAATTAAATCGCTGTGTGATAGTTAGTTCATACTGGCAGTTGGGGCTTTTCCTAAGAAAACCTCTCTTGAGAATACTTGCCCAAAATGGACACAACATTTGGTATTAATCTCTTCTCCCGATCTGGATTTAAGTCGCACAGTTCCTGGATGGCCAGCTTTTAACAAAGATTTATCACTCTATGAAAAGTTTAAGCTATGTTGACTGTTATCTGTATGTATGTCGTTTGCTTAAAGAGCTGTCAAAAGATAAGGATACACATGACTGCATAGATGCTTCTTTTGAAGATGAAGAGCTGAAATGTAAGTATAAATGATAAAGGGAAAAATAGTAGAAAATTGCACATAGCAAAAATCATCCGTGATCATCAGAGCCTTGATTCATGGCTGGTTTATTTAGTCCCTTGTTTCAACAGACAGAGCCTTCAAGAGAAGAACAGCCTCCCTTTCTCTGTCTTACAAACTCACCATCATAACTCATTGTGTACTGGGAGTTATGTCAAATAATTAACCTGGTTTTAAAAACAAAAAGAAAAGCCATGCAAAGGAAAATGTGATGTGGAGATATATAACAACCCAAATTAGTCTTTTGCCTAGCTCACACTTTTGCTACAGAAAGAGTTGTGCCAGCACAACTGAAGGAGTGGTGATGGCAATGGATAGGGAGACCTTAACCCATCACAGCCGCTCAAGCAAGTCTCAAGCCATGAGATTCTGTCTCAGCAAAGCAAGAAAATAAATGATCAAATCTCTGAAATCTCTGAAACATACTGTGGTATGGAACAGAAGGGTGAAGTTACTGAGTTTTTCTTTCATGGTCTCGCTGACTTCTAAAGCACTTGTATTAATTACATCCCGAATCCCCTCGCCCGCTACACTTCACAGTGTAAACAGAACAAAGGTAAGCCTGCTGGTCCTGCAGGTATAGATCTCCAAGTCAAAGAGTTAGGGCCTGGGGATATGCTGCGAGGGATACCGACAGATAGAGCACTGAATGTATTTGAAAGACTTTAAAAGATTTTAAAAGAATGGGGGACCTAAGCCACAGTAATTTCACCGTTTTTGCTGAAGAGCATTTCCCACCAGTGTGTTTGAACTACCACTTTATTTCCTCCCATGATCATATTCTTTTTCTATTTGACCTTTTAATTAATTTAATTTTAGATCTTTAATTTTGACAATGAAGGAAATTTTTTTGGTACCTCCAAACTCTAGGAAAGAGCCCCAAAGCCATGAAATGTTCTGTGACTTTATCGTTTTATAATTTGATAACTTTTTAATATCATTTTTCCTTTTACAGATATGCAAATTGAGAAGACCTAGAGAAAGCAGAGGAAGCTTTTTTCCTCTGTGGTGAAGATTTGACAGCTCAGATGTTCTGTGTTCTGTCTAATAAGGGGGATATTAATTTTTTGTTTTTATTCTGTGACGGCAATCTTCTTCCATATCGTTGTAACTCAGAAAAAACTGCAATGAAGTTAATAGAATTATTATAGCATAAAAAGTCCTTGGATTCAGGCTTCTTTATATGTGACTAGCTATGGAGGTATTTATTTAAATATCCAGGTTTCTGCTTTCTCAAGTTTATGCACTTTCAGAGACACATTTAATTAAAAATATCTTTAAGGTAAAGCACTTTAGGTCTATGACCATCATGAATTTCATATCTAGTTCTTGAATAGGCCATCTTCTGGCTTGCTTGCTTTATTTTTTTTTTTTCCCACCTGAGCTCTCGGTTCCTTGCAGAGATTTTATTTTCCAGCTTTTGAAGAATTTTTTCAATACTTTGATCCTTATAAAAGTAAGGGTGCAACAAGATGCTATACAGACAGGGCATTTTCCGTCCTTACTGTAGATCTTAAAATAACAGATACTCACAGCTAAGCCTGAAATAGATACTGTAACCCTCTTGGCAACTATGGTTTGGAAATTATTAGATAATACTGAACTTCTTGACCTCTTTCTCTGAAAAGTGCTTTGGGGATTTAATTTCCGTGTGATATAGCTGGTTAATGAGCACTACTTGGTTACTGCTCATTACTCTTCTGATTCGCCATTTGGGAATAATGCAACTCTTCGGATGTTAAGGAAGAACAGCTCTTGATTTGGACTGCCTGTTTGTTCATCTTGGGAATAGAAGAAAGAGAACCTTCTCACCTCTAGGACATGCTCATGTGATTACTTACGAAATGCTGAGGGAACATGCTCCTGGATCCCATTTCTTAAGCTATTGCTTTGTTAGATTTTGCTAGGTGCATAGCTTTTTTTTTGGTCATACACAGGTGAAAAATATTTATTACAATGCTATTCACAATTATATTTTTTTAATAAAATATGTTTTGTTTTTCTTGTGTTTTTTCCTGCTGTCTTTGACTTGTCAATAAGTAGTGCTAGCACTACTTGTGTTTTTTCTGGGAAAATCAGGTATCTAAGATTTGGGTGTAGAATAGTGTCTACACCCATGTCATCCCTCTAATGGCTCTCACAAATAAGAGACAGGGGAGATCTGGAATCTCATTGGACTCAGGTTTTATTTTTCAGTTTAAAATAAATGAGTCTGTTGTGCAGTCCTAAGGATGTGAATGCAGCCCTCAGCCCAGGGCTTCACTGCTGGCAGTATTTGATCCAGCTACTGTAAAGTTGTGTTTAATATATCTCAGCAAGCTGCCCTATATAGTAGGATAGAGAAATGCTTCTTTTAAGCATAAAGGAGATGATAGACCTCAGTTAAATAAAATAGTTACTATAAAGTGATTTCCCTAATTCATTTCAGAGCTTGCATATTCTGATACTGATTTTTGCTGTTTGATTCTTCAAGGATGCTATGTGAACTTGAACGTTCCCTCCTACTTCCCAACATGCTTTTTGAGGCCACAGTCCAGGTGTCACTGAATGTGATGGCCAATTTTTAATTATTCCTGCAGTGCAAGAATGGCTTTGGAAATAAATATTAGGGCCATTTGTAGAAAAAGCACTGACTGTCCTCAAGACACAAATGTAGTTTCATATCGCCACATAAATAATTTCCCTTCCAGACAACCTCTTCATTTTCTACTTCCTCTTTGAGACTGCAACAGCTGTTTGCATATTAAAGTAAAAGTGAAAAGGCTACTCCTTTTAGTTACTATCAACCTTCCCGAGGCAGTGCTGTTAGTGCACACTTACTATCATGGAACTGAAGTTGGTGTCTTTATCAAGCTCCACCGGACAACAGGAACTGTTACATTTATCTTTTCCCAGCAGGAAAAAAGGTAAGTTACTGTTGACAGTGCTGTATATCAGATGAGTAAGTTAATGAAGTGAGGGGATATAGATATATTTTTAAATTCTGTAGCTGAACCCTACCATCCATAATGCCAGTGTTTGAATTCCTGAGTGGATGATAGGAAGCTTGAAATTTTGCTGCTTCATTAGAAAAGTGGGATGTGTGGTGGATAACAGATGATGTGAAAAGAACTGTCCTCTCTAAATAAGCTCTACTTTATATTTATTTGACATCCTAAACCAGAACTTGTTTAATCTAATTTTAGTAATTTTACAAATTAAGCTTTCAGGATAAGCTAAGTATCTGTGCTTCATTTTTATGAATACAGGGAGACAGGCCCACATGCTCATCCTCCAGTGCCATGAGTTGTTTTGGCACAATTACTTTCCATTTGTGACAGAGGGAGAATACATACCTGACTGAAAATACGACACATTTAGGTCATGAGAACTAGGTGAGAGGAAATCCTTCCTATCCTAACATAAAAAATGTAGTAAAACACCATATTTGTAATAATATTTTTTCCTTCAGTTAACACTTTTTGCACGCTACTTCAGTGTTTTTGGCTATCTGGCAAATGAAATCCAGCAGGAAGCTAGAGCAGACTCAGCTTCAGGAAGCTGCATTTTGCTTCCTAATGGCCAAGCATTGTTAGATGCCCAAAAGTGCTCAGAAAAGCCTGGTTCGTGTGCACAACCTAAATTGGCTTATTGGTATTTGAGTTCAGACTCATTAATTTGAAAAACGTAATTATGAACCAGTCGGATGGCCTGTTCTGTGATGTGGCATTTAATTTTGTAGGATATGAATGCTATTACTAGTAAGAATTACATTAAAGAATAACGAATAATAAGAAAAATAGAATCATTGCTATTGACCTGCAGGATGTGCATGGAGGAGCATGCAGGATGTGTGTCCCTTTTCCCTTTTGGCCAAAAAAGTAACTTTAATGTCCTTGAGTGACAGGTACCAATGGTGCATCTTCCAAGCATGAGCTGACCAGCAAAATGGCAGAGATGTTAACAGTGGAACTTCTGCTTTTGCAGGTGTTAACAGTGGGACTTCCGGTTTTGCAGCATCTTCTCCCCGATTCCTTGTCACCCTCTCTGTGTTTCTCTGGTCCTGCAATCTAGGTGATTGTCCCAGCCAAGTCCCTGCCAGGTACTGCTGGGTTGATGAGATGCCCAAGGCAGGTCGCTGAGTCTTGGGCAATTGCACTGAGCTTTCTGTCTCCCTGTCCCAAAATAGGAACACATGAAGAAAACCTATTGTAGCCAGAGCTGGCTCAGAATAAGTAGAAGATGGTGATGGTGACTGTGAAGTAACTTTGGGGTGCCTTTTCTGACAGGTGGGAAGAGAACAAGGAACACTTTTGTTTTCCTTCCAGAAGAAGTCTCAATACCTGCAGGGAAACTAGACACCTAGACGCAGGGGAGGTAGAGATTCCTCAACAAACAAGCGAGGAAGTTGTGGATGGGGTAGGCACGTAAAGGGCTAATCAGAAGATAGGGAACATAGCAATCAACAAAACAAGGCTTCCCTGAGGACTTTATGCAGGTGGAGAGTCTTCCTTGGTAGGACACTGGTATTCTGCAAAGGCATTTGCTAGGAATCACCATGACTCCAGCTGGGACATCAATCTTTTACAATGTCTCTGGTAGAGGGTTATCTCCTGCCTTTCCCACCTCAAAATGCCTATGGGCTCTGCATGACTTGCACATCATTCATATTTTTCTGCCTTTTTCTTTATTTTACCATTAATAAATCTTTTTAAAAATGTTATTAATTGCAATGTGTGTTTGCATAAATATTTTTCCCTAAATAGACTATTTGTCTTAGTATGAAAGGCCACAAAGCAAACAAGGCCTTTAAGAGTTGGTGGCAGGTGGAGGGTGAAGAAGGAGTTAAGAGAAACAGTAGGCATAAGCATCAGTCAGGAAGAAGTGCCTTAGGAAAAGTCAATTCCCCAACTCTCACATACTTACAAAAAGAGCATGGATCTCAGTTTGCTTCCATCTTTTCCCCTTTGCTTTTACTGAAAGTGTTAGGGCATCAGGCAAACCTGATTTTAATTGTAAATCATAGATCAAGCTCAACTCTGGCCCTATGGACTTTTCTCTCTCCTTCACTTGTCCAATCATCCAAACCATTGACTTCTGACAGCTGCTAAAGAGGTCACTGGAGTTTTTCTGGAAAAAGGTCAGGCTACCAGGAATTTACGTGATAGGCCTGTACGTGGTAAGTTTACTGAGAAGAAGAAAAGTAGTATAACACTGGTTTTGTTGAGATGAATTGCTCTGCACCAGGAGACATGATTTCACGGTCTGAGTCAGACTGGAACTGTGAGGCAGGCAATCATCATACATTGTCCGAAACCAGCCAGGATTCATGGGACTAAAGCCACAACCATTATTTCTGTGGAGCTAGAGCACAATTCTCCCAAGTGATGAAGAACTGACTGGAGACAAAAGGGTATGTGTGTCCCACCTGTAGCACCAATGCATCTGAGAAACCTGGGAAGAGACCACTGTATCCTCTTTTATGTCTCCCACTCATGATGTGGTCATAAATTAAAAGATAGAGTGATGAACTGCAGTATGGAAGTAAATAGTACCTAGTAACAGTAAAATGCACAGAGACATCCATTGATGTTTAATAGAATATAACACTTCATGTTGGAAAGGAGCTCTGGCACTCACCTGTCCAACATTCCACGCAAAGCAGGGCCAACTTAAATCCAATTGCCCAGGCTTTGTCCTGTCAAGTTTGGTATATTTGCAAGGGTGGAGATTCACAACCTTGCTGGGCAACAGTGTTTGCCTACCCTCATTGTGATTTTTTTTTTTTTTAAATAATAATATGTATGTAGATAAAAATGAACAGGAAATGTGTTCTGCAAATGTTAGGTAATCTCTCAAGGAATTCTTGTAAAATTAATCTGATGAAAATTAAGAAAATACAACTTGGTGGTTTCATGAATGCAGGACAATCCTAGTAAATGCAAGTTCAGATGCCAAGGCTATATACTGCTCTAAATTGATATAAATCCAGCAAAAAA